AGGAATGGGGTGGGGTGGCAGCTGAAGAGGCGATGGGTTGAACACCAAGAGAGCAGCTTTCCAAACCCCGTTTCCTCTGGCTTGCAAAGCAGGGAGCAGCTGCCAGGTCTACTGCTGAATACTTGAAGGCAGGAGGGCGAGCAGGGAGGGAGGGAGACCATGCTAGGAATGAAATTTGTAGTGGGTGAGCTGGACACTCCTTAGAAGCGTTTGGGACCACTACTGCTGCTGGTTACAAAATCCGCGATCAAGAATTTGTTGGAAAATGGGAGTTGCCTAGTAGAGGAAGAGACCCACGGATAGACCCATTCCATGTTTCCATGCCTGAAGCATTCCATGATAAAATAGCCCTCTTACACAGTTCTGTTCTGCATAGTTTTCAGAATGCCAGAAATGTGAGAGCCTTCCTGCCCTCCTCAGACTGGGCATTCCACAAAGGGGTGGCCATTGCAGAGAATGCCCACGTGTGGGCAGTGGCTGGTCTTGCCCCTCTGGTACTTGAGATCTGTCTGGGACCTTCGGGTGCCCTCCTTGCCTTCCCAAACTAAAAGGCTCTCTCTCTACCACGGCGCTTGATGGAGCCAACTGGTAGAATGTCAGCCTTAATTTGGGAGTAGCAGAAGGCAGAGGGTCTAGAAAATTGTGGGGGGCTGTAGAAGGAGACAAGACCCCTCCGCACAAGGAAGAAGCTCTCTTAACCCTCCTGCTTCCTTCCTGGAAGCTATTTCACACCTGAGCTCCGTTGCGATGGCTGCCGTGGCCACCTGTGGCTGAGCAAAGGAGGGAATCCCCACACCATGAAGCAAAGGTGATGGAATAAACAGCCTGGCCCAATTTAGCCATCATTTAGGATACCTGAGCGTTCGCGTCAGAGGACTGTGATGGTATCACTCTTTATTTGGATCCTTACCTAGTCCATGTACACATTTTTTAAACTTCCTATTGAACTTCCTCCCACTTTGAATGTTGGTAGTCTGATCTCTGGTTCCCCATTGGGCCCCTTCAGTGTCACTTGATAAGAGGAGGGGGCAGCGTTCCATCCCTCCACCCCGTGGGTGGGCTTGCAGGCCCCACAAGAGCTTGTGAGAACAAAGTGGGAGGTGAGGGAGCGGAGCGGACCTTTAGACGGCAACACGACTAAGACTGCCGGTCCCTCAGCAGGAGACAGGCTTGCTCTCGGGAGAGAGAAGTGGGTTGCACCGGAGTAAGGAAGGCAGGGGCCTTTTCGGGCAGAGACCCGGGAGGCCCACATAATTTCCAAGCTTGCCTGTAGCAGAAGCGGAGGCTTTTGAGTGTTTCCCCACAGGGGTTATAAGTTATTTTTCTCTTCTGATGTTGCTGCTCCTGACCTAATTTAAAACTATTTTTCAGTTTTTATGTTGGCATTTAAGATTTGAATTGTGGGCTTTGTGTGCATGTGTGTGTGTTCACATAATTTTAGTGTTGATTTGTAGTTTGTCCTAAATCTCATGTTAGCAAAAAGGTGACCTAGATTTTTTAAAAAATAGATAAATATTTTCTGTGAGTTTCTTCTCCAGCTGTCGTATTTGTCATGCCACTTGCCTTGTTTGTTGCCTTCCTTTCTGCAGACAGCCTTTGGCCTGGCATCCTGGCAAGGAATCGCTCTGCTCCACTCGCTTCCCATCAGGCCCCCTCCGCCCTCGACAGGAGACACGGGAGGCCAGCACCCTGGGCACCAGCAAACCACCCCGCTCCTGCCGCAGGCACAAAGGAGCTCCATGGCGTGAGTGACTCTGCCTTGTCTCAGGGCCCAGGCTGTGCCTGCGTCACTGTGGGGAGGTGGGGCTGCCCTTGAAAGGGCTCTGCTGACCCTGCAGAATGAGGCAGGCTCCCCCTTCCCTCCTCCCATCACCCCAGGTCAGGGCAGGGAGAAGGGGGCCTGTCCGCTGGGGTCTCTGACCTCTGCAGTGGGCTGTCTAGTGCCTCTTGACCTGATCCAAGGTGTTGACTCTCACCTCTTCTGTGCTCTTACGGCCTGTATGGCTTACCTCCAGGAGTGCTCCTAACTTTAGGAGAGACAATGCCTGGAGTGGATTTATGGTCCATAGCTTAGCAGGGGCTCCGTTGGTAAGATTTGGACTTCTGGTAAGGTTAACACCTTTGTCAGAACTAACAAGCAATAGCAAGGGATCGGTAATTGGGGAATGGGTTCCACCCCTCAGGTACACGTCACATACACCCAGGCTTACTACAGGTCATGAAAGATTATACGACCATGTCTCAAGTCTTATCTCTCCCAAGGCCACAGGCGCAGTTGGATCCTGTGAACAGCGGGGAGGACTGATAAGGGAACAAGCAAGCGGGCGATGCGCACAGCAGGCGGGGGGGGGAGCTACAAAAACAAAAGTAAGCATTAGCAACACAGGGCAACACAATCACAGTCATTGATCATGGAAGGGGTCCAATCCTGACACAGATTTCCACGTCAGGGAAAACTGATAATGAACAAGCAAGCGGGCCGATGCGCACAGCAGGCGGGGGGGGCTACAAAAGCAAAAGTAAGCATTAGCAACACAGGGCAATACAATCACAGTCATTGATCATGGAAGGGATCCAATCCTGACACAGATTTCCACATAACCTTCAGGCTCCCTTCAGATGTCCAGACCAACCACATCATTAATGGCTACCTGCTTGCAATTCTCAACTCACTCCTGAATGCTGCAACCCAAAGAAAGAGAACCACTTCCTGCAGCATGGAATTTTTACCATATCTATTTCCCCTCCCACTTGACCTGGTCAGCCCAGGTCAAGGAAGCATTTCCTCCAGCTCCTTCCTGGAGATTGTCCCTGGAGCTGTTCTAGCCTAAAGTCTTCCAAACTCTGTTCCCTGCTTGGGGAAGGGGGGGATGGTAGAATTTGACCATCTCATTGTCTTTTCTGCTAGATCTATTAGTATCTGTAAGAATATAGGGCCAATGGCCCATCTAGTCCTACACTCTGTCTGTCACACAGTGGCCAGAAATACCAGGTGCCATCAGGAGGTCCACCAGTGCAGCCAGGAGGACACTAGGAGCCCTCCCACTGTTGCTCCCCCCCCAAGCACCAAGAATGCAGAGCATCCCTTGCCCCAGACTAAGAGTTCTTACCTTGTGACTAATAGCCACTGATGGACCTCTGCTCCATATGCTTATCTAATTCCCTCTTATTTATTTATTTATTTTATTATATTTCTATCCCGCCCTTTCTGCCAATGGGCTCAGGGCAGCTCACAGTCTAGGGCACAATGTGCCAAATATAAAAACATATCTCTCCTTATATATAATTGAATAGTGGGTGCCAAAGTTCTAATTCTAAAATGCACTCCCTTAGTGTATGGCTGATGGCACTGCTCCTCAGCATATATCGCCACCAATCAGAAGGCAAAGCCCGGGTCCCACCCACACCACAACTGCTGCGACAACCTGGTCTTTTGCATATGGAAGCTGATTGGACTTCAGTCCAAGGGCCCTGATCTCCTCTGGGAGCTCGTTCCACCAGGTAGAGCCACCACTGAAAAGGCCCTGGCCCTGGTTGCAGCAAGCCAGGCCTCCCTGGGGCCTGGAATCACTAGCTGATGTTGTGACCCTGACCGTAGTACTCTCGGGGGTATGTGTGGGGAAAGACGGTCCCTCAGGTATGCCGGACCCTGGCCATATAGGGCTTTAAAGGTAAGTACCAGCACCTTGAAGCAAATTCGGTATGCTATTGGCAGCCAGTGCAGCGCTTTCAGCCCAGGCCGGATGTGTTCCCATCTAGGGACACCCATCAGGAGCCTGGCCACAGCATTCTGCACTAGCTGCAGCTTCCGGATTTGTGACAAGGGCAGCCCCATGTAGAAAGCGTTACAGTAGTCTAATCTTGAGGTGACCATCACATGATCACTGTAGCCAGGTCGCCACAATTGAGGAAGGGAACCAACTGCCAAAGGTGGTAAAAGGCTGACCTGGCAGTGGCTGCCACCTGGGCCTCCATCGTTAAGGAGGGATCCAGGAGCACTCCCAGACTCCTCACCTCCGGCACCAGAGGCACCCTTTTGAAGGCCGGGGGAGTCCGACTGGCCACCCAACATCAGATAGAGCTGGGTGTGGTCCGCATACTGATGGCACCCTAGCCCATACCTCCGGGCGATCTGGGCGAGGGGGCGCATATAGATGTTAAACAACATTGGGGAAAGCACCGCCCCCTGAGGCACACCACATTCGAGCGGGTGTCTTTGGGACTGTTGTTTTCCTAGCGCCACCCTCTGTGCCCCCCCGGCCCTGGAGAAAAGAGGCAAGCCACTGTGAGGCAAGCGCCTGTACCCCCCACGTCGGCGAGGCGGTGGGCCAGCCGCTGGGGGTGAACCATGTCGAACACAGCCGAGGGGTCCAACGGCGGCACTACTGCCACACCGCCTCGACCCAGATGCCTCAGTATGGGCGGCCAGCGATGGGCGGCCAGCGATGTCTCCGTCCCATGACCCGGGCGGAAGCCGGACTGGAAGGGATCTAGGGTGGAAGCGTCATCCAGAAAACCCTGTACCTGTGTCGCCACCGCCCTCTCAATTAGTTTACCCAAATAGGGCAAATTGGAAACCGGCCGATAGTTGGCCAATTCGGCCGGATCCAAGGTTGGTTTTTTCAGGAGACCCTAACCCTAACCCTTGCTTCCTTGAGTGCCACCGGGAACCGCCCCTCAGAGAGGGACTTGTTGACAGTCTCCCTTAGGGCACCTCGAAACCCCTCGTGGCCTGCTTTAATGAGCCAGGAAGGGCACGGATCAAGGCTGTGGAGGACGGAGATGCCAGTCCTTCTCTTAGTGGACGGGCAGTGGTCTGCGTCAAGAGAGTGACTGAAATATCGAAGCCAAGAGACTAAGCTCCGAGTCAGGAGACCCTAGTTTAAGTCTTGTGTGTAGCCACTCACTCAGTCTCCCTGGCGATAGCGACAGAGGTCTGCCTGGCCGGGTGTGTGCCTCTGGATGCTGGGAAGTGCCACCTGAAAGGGCAGTGTTCTTAGTGCTGTGAGGGTGAGAGCCCACCTTGAGGAGGGGAGGCGGAAGAGGCCTGCTTGCATGGGAGCTTCAGCCCTCCCACTGGCGTCCTGGCACTGAGAGCTCCCGCCTCCGGGTCTTTGTGGCTGGTCCCCTCCTTCGGGAGAAGCTCTTTGTTCCAGATGTAGCGGCTTCTCTTGGGCCAGGTGGAGGCTGCCCGTGGTGTGCCTCAGCCCCTGTCCTGGCTCTGCAGGTCCTGGAAGGATCCGAGGGCCGAAGGCAGCCCACGCCCCGCGGGAGACCACTCTCGCTTTCTGGCCAGGCCCACAGGGCAGCTCTCGGGCACCGCCACCTCTTGATTGGGAAGGAAGGAGCCCTCTCCCAGCAAGGCCACAGCTGAGCACCCCGTGAGTGAAAGTCTCCCAGGCCTTCCCCACCATCCTGGCCACTTCCCTCTCGTGCCTTCTTGGTGTGTCCTTGGTCGGGCTTGTGCCCTCACAGGTCGTCGTGGCTTAGCATGTAGCTCCCTGTGCCAGCTCCCTGTCCCGGAAGGGCTGCTGGGGGGGTGGGGGGGTGGAGGTAGGGTATGTGTGTGTGTGTGTGTGTGTGTGTGTGTGTGTGTGTGTGTGTGTGTGAAGTCTTGGGAAACTGCGTCCTGGCCCAGCTCTCCAGGCTCCATTCCCTTGGGCATTTCCCAAAGGGAACGTGGAGGGACGGTGGTTCTCCTCTCCTGGAGTGGTCCGGCCTGCCTCATCCTTGCAGCCCAGTTTTGGACCCCCTGCAGCGGCCTCCCCCCTCCCTCCCTCCCCCCAGTCTCTGGGTCCCCTGCTGGCATCCTTCTCTCTCTCTCTCGCAGGATTCAAAGGCCTCTGAGGCTCCCCACAAGGACGTCCGTCCCATCCCAAAGCCCAGCAGAAAGATGTTCCCTGTCACAGCAAACGTGGGAGCAGCTGGTGATCCCCGGGCCCGCCTGGGCAGTTACTCCCAGTCCTATGGGACCATCTGTAAGTCTGCCCTTCCGGGCCTGCCTGTGCCAGACTCCTGCCTTCAGGCACTGGCACCCAGTGGGCAGAAGCGTTGATGCGTGTGTGTGTCCCCCCCCCCCCCCCGCCACCACCACCGCGATACAGAGCTGGGCACAGAACACACTTTGGCTGCCCCCTCTCTCAGGGAGTTGAGAAGAGACTGCAGACGCCTTTTGCAGAGCCCTCCTCCACCACCACCACCACCACTGGAGATGCTGCTCTGCTCTCTGCCCATCCGCTCCAGTCAAAACCGGCTCCTCTTCACTCTGTCCAGAGTTGCACTGGAAAAAGAAAAGACAAACCTCTGTGGAAACACCCCCCCCAAGGCGGGGGGGGGGGGAACACTTTGAGTCTTGGAAGCTTCTGGCCCCTTTCCATGCATAAGGAAGCCAGACTGCATGTACATGCGCCAGATGCGTTTCCCTCTCTTCCATTGGTTCATTCTTGTAAGGATCTCAATAAAGGAAACTTTTCAAAGGGTCCTTTCACAAGGAGACATGTAGGTCTTCTGCTGCAGAGAGCATCATCCAGGAAACAGTAAGGGTTTGGCTCCTCTCCACTTTCAAATAGGACTGGGCTGGTTCTGTCTCATGGCTGAGGAACTTCTTTATGCAGGCCTCTCAGCGGCTGGCAGGGCCCCTGGAGAGCCAGTGCTGGCACAGAACTAGACCGGTCCTGCCCGTCCAGACAGCAGAGTCGGTGTATTTGCAGACTGCACAGATACCCGTCACACCCTAGATATGTGTGTGTAAAAATATCCCACTTTGCTTTTTGAACATTCGGTCTACACTCTGTGAAAGCACAGAAACCCCGTGGAGCCTCTGAAGGAGACACACAGGTGCCCTGTGTTTCCATGTAAACTCAGACTCAATCATGTGTTACGCAGGCTCATGGTCTGCAATCAGCCGGATGGAGAAGGCAAACTGAGATGGACTGAGCCTGAACAACGGCTCTGGAACCCTTAAGATAGTTCTTCCTGTCTCTTTGGTATCACAGAGATGATAGTGTAAGGGAAGATCTTGCCTCACTAACCTGTTAGTGTTTTTTGAGGGAGTGAAGAAACATGTGGATAAGGGGGACCCAATAGATGTTGTTTACCTTGACTTCCAGAAAGCTTTTGATAAAGTCCCTCATCAAAGGCTCCTAAGTAAGCTCAATAGTCCCGGGATAAAAGGACCAGTCCTCTTGTGGATCAACAACTGGCTAATTCATAGGAAACCGAGAGTGAGTACAAATGGGCAATTTTGTCAGTGGAGGGTGGTAAGCAGTGGGGTACCACAGGGATCAGTACTCAGTCCGATGCTTTTTAACTTGTTCATTAATTATTTGGAGTTGGGAGTAAGCAGTGAAGTGGCTAGATTTGCAGATGACACGAGGTTGTTCAGGGTAGTGAGAACCAGGGAGGATTGTGAGGCACTCCAAAGGGATCTGTCGAGGATGGGCGAGTGGGTGTCAACATGGCAAATGGGGTTCAGTGTGGCCAAGTGCAACGTGATGCACATTGGAGCCAAAAATCTTAAATACAAATACACGTTGATGGGGTCCGAACTGGCAGAGACTGACCAAGAGAGAGATCTTGGAGTCGTAGTAGACAACTCAATGAAAATGTCAAGACAGTGTGCAACTGCAATAAAAAAAGCCAACGCTATGCTGGGGAGTGGGGATTATTACGAAGGGAACTGAAAACAAATCAGCCAGTATCATAATGCCCCAGTACAAATCAATGGTGCAACCTCATTTGGAGTACTGTGTACAGTTCTGGTCACCACACCTCAGAAAGATTATTATAGCATTGGAAAAAATGCAGAAAAGGGCAACTAGAATGATAAAAGGATTGGAACATTTTCCTTGTGAAAAAAGGTTAAAGCACTTGGGGCTCTTTAGCTTGGAGAAACGACGGCTGAGGGGTTGTTCGCTGAGTAGCCGCCGAAGGAATGGCCGGCGGATGCGGTCAAAGGCCTTGCTTTGATCAGCTTCTATGATATGCCCTTCCCAGTCTCTGGCGGCCGCGTTGCTAAACAGTTCCCAGGATAGACGCTGCGTGTGTCCCATTTTTCGCCCCGGCGTCCCGCTCGTTTGCTGGGGGTGCAGGAGGTCTGCTGCGAAGTTCGCCATTCTGCTGGTGAGGATGCGTGCGAGGGTCTTATAATCACAATTCAGCAGTGTGATTGGTCTCCAGTTTGCTGCCGAGGTGCTTTCTCCCGCTTTTGAGAAGAAAATCACATCTGCTTGTAGTTGCGACGGCGGAAGGTGCTTGCTTGCCAGAGTGGCGCTGTAGACCTTCGCCAGCCGTGGGGCCAGCCAGTCCACATACTGTGTAGTACGCGTAGGGGAGTCCGTCTGGCCCTGGCGCGGTGTTGTTGCGCCCTTGGCAGATGGCGGTCCGGATCTCCTCTGCTGTGATTTGTGTGTTGCTGGCTTGTTTGTAGCACTCCTCCCACTTTTCCTTCTGCGCTGGTGACCAGTGCCGTCGGCGTCTATCTTCGTCCCGCCGCGTTGCTCTTAGATAGACTTGTTCTTCTGCATCGGCTTCCGCATCGCTGCTCGTGTCGGCCTCGGCATCGACAAGCGCTGCGTATGCGTCCGCCATTACGGCCGCCATTTCTGCCAGGTGGGATGCCCACCCTCCGCCATCCTTTTCCAGTGCGACCATGGGTTCCAGCGCTGCCGCGTCCCTCTGTATGCTACGCCACCATTCATGGGGGTGCAGCGCCGACCCCTTATTCCGCCGCTCCTCTGCTCTTTGCTGCCGCTGGCGCTGATGGTGTTCTGCGATGGTCTGTTGGTCACGCCTCAGTTTCCTCCCATCTATGGTTCCGCCCGCGCCAGCTGCTCTTCTGCCTGTTGCTTGCTGCTCAATGCTTGGTGGTATTGTCGGAGCTCTCGCTCCCGCTGCTGTGCCTCTAGTTCTTGGCAGCGCCTCGCAACACATGCCTTGCTCTCTTCCCACCAGTCTTCCCACGTTTGTTGCTCGCGGTCCGGCTCTGGGTCGGCGTCCTCGCTCTCCTCTGGTCCGCGGACGGCAAGATGCCATGCCAGGAGCCGTGCGATTTTGTCGGTGTGCGGTTTGTACGCGAAGAAGTTCTTCCGGAGTCGCCAGCGGTCTTGCTTGCGCGTCCACTCTTTGTCGCATGTCTGCAAGCGAAGTCCCAATAGGGCGTGCGGCCCCCACTCCGTGTCGACAGTTCGCCTCTCCGTAGCCTGCATGGTCCGTTCTGACCAGATGCGGGTCCACCGTGCCCGGAGTTGTCCTGTCCGGTACGTATATGGGTGCGCGTCACCGTCGCCCGTGGCCCATGGCTCCGTCGCCCATAGTGGTGGTGCTCGTCTGGCGGGTTTGGTGCACCCTTCTCTTCCAGGTGCAGGTGTTCTCTGAGCAGCGTTTGTAGGCGCTGCTCGTCTAAGGTAAGTGGCTCTCACTCGGCTGGCCGGAGTCGCAGACGGTTCCCGGCGCGCTCCACTTGCCTCCTGTCCTCGGGTTTGGCGCGTGCCCTGAAGGTGCCTGCAATGATCCGTGCCCTCCCCTCGGTTGCGGCCCCATATGTTCGCAGCTGGTCCCGGAGCCTGGCGGCCTGCTGTGGCATCTCTGCCTGTCGCTGCGAGACGTTGATCACTCGGAGGCGCAGAGGCTGCTCACCCACTGACTCCGCCTCCCTCTCTGGCTGGTGCAGGCCGTAGGTCAGTTGGATGACTTGTTTCCCGCTAACGCTGCCATAGCCTCGCAGGTCCCTCGGCCACAGGTTGACGTCCACCACCTGGATGTGCCCGGGGTCGATTTCTCGGATGTTCCCGACTCGCCAGTTCAGATTGTCCTACTTCCACAGGATGCCGAGGCCGTTGGTCTCCGCCTCGCCTGCTCCTGCGGCGGCCCGTGTCGCGGCCATGGCGGCGGTCCCTGCCCGGTACAAGGGGCCCCACTGTCGCCAATCCCGTTCTGCGGCTCGGATGTGCGCTGGACTGCTCAGGTGCGTGTTTTGCAGGAGGGTGATGTCGAAGTGCAGGCGGGCCAGGGCGGCGAACATCTCTCGCCGCCGTCTCCCAGCGTGGAGCCCGCCGACGCTCAAGGTGGCTATTGTGACTTCGTGTCGCCGTGGTGCTGGCTCTGCCACCTGTGCTGAGCTGCATCTGCTAGTTGTCCCTGCCATCATCTCGACGTGTTGAGGATCTTCTGGTCGTCTTGACTCCAGTCGTTTCACTGGGCAGTCGTGCCTGCCGCCTCCTCCCTCTCCTCTCCGGAGGAGATGAGGATGGGTGGCGAGTGCCTGCCGAAATCGATCGTGTCGTCTTCGTCCATCGGCGGGCTATGGAAGACGTCGTCCCTGTCGTCGGTGTGGCT